GGAAGGAAGGAAGGAAGGAAGGAAGGAAGGAAGGACCTGATGATTGAAGGAAGGAAGGAAGGAAGGAAAACATGGATACATAATCCTTTCAAAGGAGTATGCATTTCAGAGTCGGATATTGATATCTCAGCTCAGTGGCATCCAAAATTCTGAGATCTGAACTTGTACATTTTGCCAGAATGCAGCTTCTAGCATGACTCTCCCCAATATTTTAAGTCACTTTTTAAGGGTACTTTTTAGGACAAGGTGAGGTATAAAAGGAAGGAAGGAAGGAAGGAAGGAAGGAAGGAAGGAAGCAAAACATGGATACATAATCCTTTCAAAGGAGTATGCATTTCAGAGTCGGATATTGATATACTCAGCTCAGTGGCATCTAAAATTCTGAGATCTGAACTTGTACATTTTCTTCTTAGGAGTGTGTGTTTTCAAACATTTTTTAAAAGAGACAATTAGGACTCCTTAAAATAAAGCAACACACACAAACAGGGAGCTCTCCTACCTACACTGCTTACATAGACAGGAAAGCTATGATTTGTAGATGAATGTAACACTGGGACTCTCAACCCTTACCTTACATTTTGGCAGAAAAGAGGTAAAAACAGAAGCTGTCTCATCCTTTGTCTGGCATCTCTCTGCCTAATTACCTTCTGTATTGTGTGATAACTTAAATATAGCTTTTCTGTCTGAATTCCCCAAGTAATTGCCTTCTATTTTTGAGTGTTCCCATCCTGGCTTGTCAAACACTGGGGAATATCCAAAAGAGCCTGCTTCTATGGGAAATCCTCCTCCCCCCCCAACCTCTTCCACATCCAGTCATGCACGATGAACCCAGACACAACAGCTCTGGCTGAAAAAAAAACCACAAAAGCCATTGTGCTTTGCCTGAGGACGCCTGCTATCCTGCAATGGGATCCGTCCAGCTCCTGCTAAGGGGGTCCAACATAAACATTCACAGGAGTCCAGAATTTATTATCGAAACTAGTGAAAAATGTGGTGACCTCAGATCTTCGAGAGGAAAACAATCAAATACAACACTTCTCTTGCATGCCCGTTTCTTACGACTGCTCTTAATTTGCTTTCAAAGCAGCTGCTTCGTAGGGCCAAACACTGCAGATAAAAATATATCCAGTCCCTGAAACACCTTTAACACTTGGTCTAGAGGTTCGAATTCATGCTCGTTTTATGATTTTTCATCATAACATCCTCTACCTTTCAAAAAAAATTTAAAAATCAAGCTAGGGAAGGAGGACAAATTAAAAGGCAGAGGTATGGGGATTCCAAAGGAAACTTTGTACCATTAAGGATAACTCCAATATTTCATTAGAACATCCTTCTTTTAATCTACATTTAATTAAACATGGGCATACGTTAGTTAGGCACTGGAGTTTTGGGGTGCATTTTGTTTTTCTATGCTTATGGCTAAGCACGGATAAGTGAAACCGTGGATACTGAGTACTGCAGCCAAAACTGTGCTCACGACCTGGGGTTCAATCCCAGATAGCTAGCTCAAGGTTCACTCAACCTTCCATCCTCTAAAGCTGGTAAAATTAGTATCCAGCTTGCTGGGGGGGGGCGGCACTGTGTAGCCTGCATAATTAACTTGTGAACCACCCAGAGAGTGTGGCATAATTAACTTGTGAACCACCCAGAGAGCAGAACGCTTTTTAATAGCTATTCTTGTGCACCTGTGTTTATTTCCTTTGTAGCTGCCCAGAGTAGTTGCCACTAGATGGACAGGATTAAGTGAAACAGACAAACAAACAAATAGGAAACCATTTTGTGCAGACCTGGAATCTCAAGCTGTCACTCACAATGTCATGCAAACAGTACGAAAGAGGGAGATCTTGAATTCTACAACTTGATCCAGTGGCTCAAATCCTTTTGCACGGCTAAGCAAATGGCACAACGTCTGGAGGCAAACCGCCTCAAGTTAAAGATAAATAAATCACCATGCACATTATCAGTTGCATGCCGAGTTGCACATCTCAGTGTGCAACAGGTAATATCTACAGCGATTTCTTACCAAGTTGCTTCCAATATTGACACCATTTATATTACACCAGGGCGACTGGGCAGAGGATTTGGGCCAGTGGGTTCAAAGGACTTTACTCCCCAGCAACCAATGAACAGAACTGACGCTGTGATTTTCACATTACTTTCTGCAGCGTCTTCGTGTTCATGGAGATGCAAGCAGGCATTTGTCAACAAAGTCAGCAACGGGAGACAAAGCTCACATGAAACCCACGTTGTCCATCATTATCTTGTTTGGTAACATACAGCCACAAGGGCGCATTTGTTGGCTATCTAGGGTGGTGGCTCTGATACACGAATACACCTACTACTACAAGGACATTCCATAGAATGTCTAAGCATTCACTCTCCCTCAGTTCTCCCACTCTACCGCAGGAGGATTGAGGGAGAGTGAATTCTCCTCTCTACACATCCTGCTTGATCCAAACGATCCACCTACCACCTTTTGGTATACCTGTTGACCTAACCTGTAGTTGTGTACTTCTCAGAAATTAGCCACTACCTTGTAATCAAGTGCAGTCAATATTTTATTTGCATTTGATTGACCGTTGGGTATTTTGGGACTGCAATCATAGCTAAGGTTGGTTGTCTGCACAGAAGGAACGCTGTCCTTCTATCATGGTGGAGCGCACATTCTTTGAAAGACCAAGTGGCGTACACAAGAAAAGATGGGATATAAGATGAGAAGAATGAACAACCTCTGCTCTGGAGGCTTGAGGTACGCTTTTTGTGCCCCCCCTCACCCCCCACCCCAGGCTCTTTAACGCATCACGTTGGTTGGTTCATCTCTCTCTGAAGTGTTTAGCCTCTTCTCTGGCTCTTCCTGTTCTGATCCTGCCTCCCTCTGCCCGCCTTCACTGGGCTGATCTCTTGGCTACCAGCCACGACTTGCTAGAGTGTTTAGCGCTTTACAGTACTGAAAGCTGACACTCCAGGGTCGACCACAAGTCTTGGCGAACTTTACACCTTCAAAGATGCTTTCCACATTGACGTATGCCAAAACCGCACAGAAACCCTGCAAACTGCTGCTCGGTAAGCCCAGGCAAACGGTGTGCCAGCTGTTTCCACTGAAGAGACCCCAGATTAAGCTCTCAAAGACACCAGCATTTCCCAGAAGGCAAGCTGACAACCCCTTTGGCGGTTATCTGATGGTTGGTGTGCAATAGCATTCCATATTAGAGAGCATTCAAGGGTTGACGTATAATGACAGTTTTTAATCTTACAACATTAAACAGCTTAAAGCCTTGAAACATGAAGGAGTGCCATCATATGATAGCAACCTCCCTGTGCATTAACAGGTATCTCTTCTGTGTCCCACCAGTAGTAACAATGCACACTATGTGGAAATGGAGCAGTTGCTTGCTATTCCCTGCTAAGGCAGCTCGGCTGTGGAGTCCCTTCAGAATCAATGTGAGTCTCATTTCAGCAAGATAAAATATGGGCTCTCAAGCATGTTTTGGGGGCTCAGTGACTACACATTCCACGGAGTGTGGATGCCTGTTTCACCATATACACTGTTTTTAAAATAACTGGTTTAAATTGTCCACTACTGTTTACTGCTTGTTCCTAGACCTGACAGCATCTGATACAGGGGGGAATATAAATATGTCGCTTTGATAAATAAAAGAAAACAAAGAATTTGAAACTATTGGGAGGCAGCTAACAAAGAGGCCAAGGAACTAATTTTAAGGACAGAATGCCACGTTCTCAGGGCTAACGTGCCCCGGAAATTATTGCTTTCCATAACTTGTAATGCCGCCCAGAGTAGACCTTTGGTCTAGATGGGCGGGGAAGAAATTCAATAAAATAAATAAATAAAAAGAAATTCTCCCTGAGACACTGTGACCAAGGCAACACGATGTTCTCCAGATGTTTTTGCCTACAATTTCCATCAATCCTTGCCATTGATGGGAGGTGTAGTTCAAAGCACCTGGAATGCATTAGGTTGCTCCTCGCATGCTATATTTTCTAAACACAGAGGGTTTGTCCCCTGGGAAAATGCAGTTCTTCCACATCTCCACTGCACCTCAGAAATTAGCCAAATGGTCACCCCGTCTTCAGATAATGGCAAGCTGTTTCTTACACATGAGAGATAGTATCAATAGACAGTATCTCAAAAACTACAAGAAGTCTTTGAATGCTATCCCCATGACCACCATAATTCTCTTGAGAGGTGGGGGAACCCTGAGGACAATGAACTTCAAATGGTTATCAGTTCTCTTCAGCATCCAGCCACCTTGCACCCAACAAACAGAGAAATGAGTGGGGGAAAGAGAAAGCTGTTCTTCTGTGTTAACCTTACCTGTAGCAAGACTGTGCCCCCAGGGATGGTGAGCTGTAAACAATACTTAGGGGCGTTCTCCCAAGAGAGCAGCTGAACATCTTCAATTGAGCTGTAGGAAATTGAGTTTTCCATGTACCCGGTAGGCTGCAGGGGGAAAACAAATGAGATAAAGGGGGGAAAAAAGATTAAGCGATTTCGCTTAGCACATCAAGAAAAACTCAACGAGGATTAAGGCAAGAATTAGACATTTGTCCAAACCAATGTTCAAACATGTAACATAAGAAGGGCTCCAGTATTTTGTTTGTATGGATTAATGGAAAAGGTTGTGGGTATCTGTGCTGTAGGATAAACACACTAACATTTTGCATCAAGGCAATCCAGATTTTGCATTTTATGAAATCTTCCTCCTTGCTATACATTATGGAAATATAAATGGAATAGACATACATCGTAGTTTTTCTCCACAGTTTAATTTTACATAACATACTCTAGCTTTGTTATGCATACACAGAGACATTGCAGAAGGCAGGGCAGACAAACGCTGCTACTACTGCCTGGCTAAATTCTAACCCATCGCTCCTCTGGCTTCTAAGATTTCACTTGACTTCATGAGGGCTGGAAACTTCTCTCTTAAAATGAGCACGGCCATTGAGCCATCCAAAATCCCAAACTCTGCTGTGTCTGATGATACGTTTTGCCCTTGGAAGAGGTAACAGAAAGACACCCCCCAGGACTATGGCTGTGGAGCAGATGGAAGGAACCAACCTGCAGGAGCCCACAAAGAGACACCAGCTCATCTCTTTGGCCAGAATCCTGTTGGTAATCTTAACTAGAGTGGACCCACCAACTGAACTGCAAATGGTGAGTCAACACTTAGCTCAAGGGGTTTTTAGCTAGGACTACCAGGTGGATTCATGACCCAGTGTGGTGTAGTGCAGCGGTCCCCAACCTTGGGCCTCCAGATGCTCTTGGACTTCAACTCCCAGAAATCCTGGTGGTGAAGGCTTCTGGGAGCTGTAGTCCAAGAACATCTGGAGGCCCAAGGTTGGGGACCCTTGGATAGAGTGATGGACTAGGACTCAGGAGCGCTAGCCATGAAAACCCATTTGGGTGTGGAACTGGTAAAGCCATTCCTTAAATACCTTATGTACCTCAAAAGCCCCATGAAGGTCGCTGAAAGTTAGTTCCAACTTTACAGCACATAACAACAAGCTTATGGATTCAGGCATTTGTACATCCAAGTAAAAAACCAAAAGGGAAGTAGTAAAAGCTACTTAGCACATAGTACATTTTCCTATCCAAAAGACTAGGGTGGCCACTGCATGATTACGTCAAGAGCATAAAATGTTCTTAACGAGTAGCGCTTAGCCACTAGATGGGCAGGATATAAATGTAAGCAAGCAAGCAAGTAAATGTTTCAGACACACTAGTTCAAATCTAACCCATACTGCAAACAGGCCAAGTGGCCTAAGACTGATTCATGGTCTCCCACCATGAACCCCCATTAGCTCTGCTTCCCCCTTGCAGGATGCAACAGTTTGAATCCTTAATGAGTGAGAGAAATAATATGCAAAGTGTAAGTAGCAGCAGTGACAGCAACGGTTGCGCGTTGAAGCTGGCAGAGGCCCCCCCGTGTCTGTTTCTTGACAGAGCTTAGCCAGAGATGTGCAAAGTAGGGGAAGAAGCACGTAAGTGCTAAGAGGCCCTTGATTAAAGGAGCACGAAGCTTGCAAGTCTAAAAATAAAGATTAGAAAGAAAAGATAATTCACTCAAAGACTCACACACGCACATGAACGCTGGGACGGGGTGGGGGGAAAGAGATCCTTTGATGTTTTCTTTGGGATCAGGGAGAAAGCACCGACAACCTCACGTACGTGTTCCACTGGGTTTCTTCCCCGGTGTTTTTGTTCCACTGCCACAGAGCAGCCAGATCAAGCACGCCACCGATAGCTGGACATTAAACTTGTCAGCAACTCTTAGGCTCTCAAAGATGAATCTGACCGGTTTGGCAGAGAGCCCTGGTGTTTCTCCGTGCAGCCAACATTTGGAGGATTTATACAGGATGGCCAGACCTGAGCAGCTGCAAACTACATCCATTTAAATTATATTTTTGCTTGAAGGCCAACACCCACTTCTGAAAGGGTCTCCGTGACATCCTTCAAGGCAAGTGCAAGCCATTGTTTAAAAATAAATAAATAAAACTGTCCGGTGAAAAGTTAAAGTAAAATGGAGCCTCAATACCCAAGCTCAGTCTGAGGCTAGGAAGAGCGAAAGGCTGTTACAAAATCCACAGATGCCACCTTGGCACCCCTAAACCGATGTTTACATCATGTGGACTAAAGTTTTAAATTTTCTGGACAAAAGTTCCCAAGCCACATGGAGATTGTAGTCTTGAAAAAGCATCTTCCCCAACCTCTAGCATCCAATCTTTGTGTATTTCTCATTCTAATTTATTGACGTGACTTCTAAGCCATCCTTCCTGTTAATAATATGAGCTACTACCAACTACCATATAAAAACACATAGGCATAAAAACAAAATACATATGCCTGAAGTGCAATCATAGTATTATAAGGACATCAAAAGATACTTTCAAATAAGGTTTGGTTTTCTTTTATTAATTACAGTGACCCACACACATACACTCAGGATAACTGGCAGCAGCACATTTTAGGCTAAAACTGATATGAGCATTTAAGGTCTACAACTTTCTTCCCCCACAAATTTAGTTTTTGTTTTGTATGCTGTTTGCTCTCTTTTATTCTATATTTCAGCATTTTTCCTATGTTTTTTTTAAATCAGATATCTCAAATTACGACTGTGATTAAAAAAACCAAAAACACTGGACACCCGACAACACAAAATGTGGTTATACCAAGTAAAACCTGATGCCCTGGAAGGTCATAAAATATATATTTGGTTGGTTGAATAACAAAAGCCTGGAGACAGCCAGGTCTCCGTTGGAGAGAGAAGCTAGAAGAGACATCCCCATGAAGAAGACTCTGCCTCAAGGCCCTCTCCTGGGCCTGATAATAATCACCTACTACTACTACTACTACTACTACTACTCATGGTGGCACTGCGGGTTAAATCACAGAAGCCTCCATGCTGCAAGGTCAGAAGACCAGCAGTTGTAAGATCGAATCCACGCGACGGACGGAGCTCCCGTCGCTTGTCCCAGCTCCTCACCAACCTAGCTGTTCGAAAGCATGTAAATGCGAGTAGATCAATAGGGACCACCTCGGTGGGAAGGAAACAGCGTTCCGTGTCTAAGTCGCACTGGCCACGTGACCACGGAAGATTGTCTTCGGACAAACGCTGGCTCTGTGGCTTGGAAACGGGGATGAGCACCGCCCCCTAGAGTCGAACACGACTGGACTTAATGTCAAGGGGAACCTTTACCTTACTACTACAAAGGTCCATCTATCCACCTCTGTGCTTGTCTGTCTGTCTGTCTGCCTGCCTGCCTGCCTGTCTATCTATCTCCGTGCATGTGCATGCATGTGTGCCTAAGCGAAAAAGAAACAGAGAAAACAGGAGGGATTTTTTTAAAAATCACGGCCTGGCCTTCTCCCTCTGTGGCCAAGCTTTCTGTGACTATGGGATGCTTTTTTTTCTGGAAGCCCTGCGTCCCTCTGCTTTCAAACTTGCTCAGCGTTCCACTCCCTCCCATCAGTTCAGAGCAGAGGGTGGGTGAGGGGGCACTGTTTTCAGCCTGGGGATAAAAATCCAGTTTAGGAACAGGTCTTACAGGGCTCATTCCAGTGGGAGAGGAGGGTTCTGGACAAAGGGCAGGGCCATATTTATGTCTTGCAGATTTGGACCTTCCCCCCCCCCCCCCCATGCCTAGAAGGCAGAAGGCAAGATCTTCCGAGGCTGCATTCCAGAGACCGGTTTTTTTCCATCTTAAAGGGGAAATAACAGCAAAACAGAAGTCACCGAGTAGATGGGGAAGATCAGTTTTACAAAATTAAGGAGATAACCAAACTGTCTTCATCTCATGGCAAGCCTTCTTTCTGCAAACTCTTTCCACAGGAACCAACCCAGTCAACCCTAAGTCCTACTTCTGAATATTATCGAACCCAAGTTGGCCCAAGGCTTTTTTCCGCCTGAGGCAAAGGACAAAATGGCAGCTCCCTCCTTACTCTCTGGTAAAGAAACCCACTGAGCTGGTTGTTTATAGTAGTGGCCCCCAACCTTGGGCCTCCAGATGTTCTTGGATTTCAACTCCCAGAAATCCTGGCCAGCAGAGGTGGTGGTGAAGGCTTCTGGGAGTTGTAGTCCAAGAACATCTGGAGACCCAAGGCTGGGGACCACTGGTTTATGGGATATCATCCTTCACTGCACCCTAGCAGAAGACTCCTGAGGATGCTTCGGATAGAGTTTCCCTCCAATGGACAGGAAAGGACTGGGGGGGAAGAGGGATTCGGGAGGAACACCCAGGTGGATATTGTTGCCCCAGCCGCTGGAACTCAAGGTAGCTGCCTCACAACGTCCAGCGGTAGCACCCGGTTTATAATCATCATTGTCTTAGAACTGCAGAGCTGGAAGGGGCCCTAAGGATCATCCAGTCCATCCCCTGCCCAGGAGGCCCATTGAGGAATCAAACTCCCAACCTCTGGCTCTGCAGCCAGATGCCAAAGCCACTGAGCTATGCCAATAATAATTCCCACTTTCACTTAGAAAGCAAATCGAAACGCAGAATGAGGTGATGTGCTCCTGACACGATTGGACGCCTCAGTGACTTAAACACGGCAGATGGGAGGTGCTACTCCGAATAATATTTTGAGAAATAAAACATGGAAGTCCTGACTAGCAGAAAGCTAGCATGTGGGGGAAAGCTGGTCCTAGTCTGGCAACGTTGGTGTGGGTTTGTTGTTGTTGTTGTTGTTGTTGTTTTGGTTTGTTTTTCCCCCCAGAATAAATTAACACAGAAGGAGAGCCTCCAGCCATGAATGTTTAGTATGCAAAGGACTGTCTATCTCAAAAAGTCAAACATTATAAAGATTGTTTTTAAAACTGGGTGCAGGACTTTGGGACATATTGATGTTTTGCACTGCAACTCCCGTGCTCCTTACCAACAGCCCTGCCAACGGAGGTTTCTGAAAACAGAAGACCCAAACGTTCTGTTTGAAACATAAAG